AACATTAAATTAAAACTCATTTTTTTCTTTCTTCACATAGATCACACATTCTCCAATAAAATAATATTTCACACAAATCTAAAAACTTTTCTTTCTTTTTAACCACACATTCTTTCAAAAATTTACTATTTATCTCATTATAACATAGAATAATGAAGCCCAAACACGATTTTAATAACAATGCCCCCAAGGGTTTAGAGAACACAAGTGGTCAAAGTGTGGCAACATGATGCTAGGTATATTGGCACTTTAACAAATATTATGCGCACATTACTTTTTAATCAACCAATGGTATGTGGGTTGGTAATTATATTGAGATAAACATTTGTTGACGATTTAGATGGAATTGCATAGAATGGTATTGTTGATGATCAATGACACACTTTCTTTGGCTATTATTAGCTACAATGTCATCAAAGATGATATTGGAAATGACTGATCGACAAGAAGCTTTCTTTGCTCGTCAACAATATGACGGTTGGTAATTCTAATTGAAATCAATATATATTGGTAAGTCGGACAAAATTACTATTAGTGATACCTTTGACAATCAAAGTCGCACAATCTTCAGAAATTATCGATGTTAATATCGTCGGTCATACTATGAGGTGCTATCAAGAATCATCAACAATATTTCAATCACCAACATAAAGTCGTCGGCGTCACTCAATTTTTTTGTTCTTTCTATATTTTTCATTTTAAAATATTTTTTTTTTCTTATTTTACACGGCATATAAGTTATTTCTTAACTTTTATTTCGTTCTCAACAAAATTTTCGTTAGTGTTTAATTTTTTTTAACTTTTATTAATTTATTTATTGGCGAAATCACTTTTGGTAAATTAAATTTGTTTAAATATATATTTTTAACATTACTAAATCGTTCATGATCTTTATTTATTTTTATTGATTTTGTTGATTCTTACACAATTTTTAATTAAAAATGGTAAAAATATGTGATTTTAAAATTAGGAGCCTTAAGCGACCGTATAACTCATCTAATGCTTAAATCGTCTTTGTGTGTAATACAAATTTTGCATTGTTTCATATCCTCTTTTCCATCTTCATTTACTTCTATCGTTTCGTACTTTGTTTCTACACTTGCCTTGTGATGGCTTCTGGTTCATGGGAAGCTTTTGGTTGTGCCTAATATCTAGCATATCTTAGTTGGCCCAACAAAGTCCATTTTTACTTAATAGGTTAGAACACTCATCCATATAAAATGACTAAGTCGAGGATGCAATATATAATATAATTGACAATATATTCTAATTTCTTTTAATAAGTAGTACAGTACGACAGAGTTTAACCATATTCATGTCAATAATGGCTCAAATAAATTTATTTCTCGATTGTCATTTTCATGTTCAATAGATTATTGAATTTGGGAGCTTCATTGAAGTCAATGACAGGATACATCAATGTCGGATCCTTTACCTATCAAAATAAAATAATCATCAATTATACTACACAAACATATTCAAAGATAAGTTCAAAAATAAGGAAACAAGTGTCGATACATGTTTGGACAATTTTAATAATAAAAAAATAAACACTCAAACAGGTGCTACCAAGTCAATCTGTCCATCTTCTCCCTTCGAGCGTGTTCAACCATCATTATGCAATAATCATTTCAAATCATACTTTTTAAAATTCCATAACATGTGATTTTTTTTTAATTTATCAAAGAAGATATGCATTATTGTTGTTATTATATTCAAATCAACCTTCACTCTTCATTGAAGTCAATGACAGGAGACAACCATGTCGGATCCTTTACCAACCAAAATAAAATAATCATTTCAAATCGTACTTTTTTAATTTCCATAATACATGAACTTTTTTTTTTTCATTTATCAGAGAAGATATGCATTATTGTTGTTAGTATAATCAAATCAACCTTCACTCTTCGTGTAGTGTTAAGGTGCAATTAAGTGACTATAATTCCCGGAGTAACATAAAATTGTATCGTGCAAATGATATGTAAACGTGTTGTGCACATATCATGCACAACCAGTATTTATCGACACATCTACAATGTACACTTATCTAATACGAGATTTTTAATAGATCATCTTCAAGCTATCGAGTGAATTTGAGATTAACACAATCAATTAGTATCCAAACCCTAAACCCTAATATTTTAACTACACTCACAATAGTGTGAGGACCACAAGGTAATGGTTTTTTTTATTCATGCGGGGCCCGCACACATGTACAACTGGATTTCCCCCCAAATAAATACTTTCACATGGGTTTGTTCTAACTTTTACTCGTACTTCAACAAAACACCACATGTTTTCCAGAAAGGATGGAATTTTTGCAGTAGATTGCAATTGCATATGGGGACCATGCTACATGTACCGAAATTTTTTTACCTAATCCCTTACCGACTACTCACAACAAGGGGTGGTGACCACATAATGGGATTTTTTTTATTCACGCAGGGCCCGCATGCATGTGAGAGGAGGTAAACAATTCGGTACATTAAATTATGTACAAATATCTTTACCCTTGCATATGGTCTACATATAAGACAAATTTTGCAGTTCTTCATGCACTAAACAAAGCAAATTTGACACTTATTGCAAGTAGTAGTCGAACACAGATTAAATCAGACGATGATTTATCCTTACATTTCATAGGACTTTCAACATTAAATCAAAAGACTAAAGAAGTAAAAAAATTAAAGAGAAAAAGATGGTCTAACTCTAAGATTTAAGGATGTTTTTGCAACAACATGACCATCAATTATAGAACATATATATCTAAGAAGGCATCAATCCTAGCCATCCATTCAACCTACATTCATCAAATTTGACTTCTTGAATAGATAAAACCATAAATTGGGATCCTCATGAACTCAATTAATTAGCTCGAACGACGAGCAACAAGATAATGTGAGCTTGATCTTGGAAGATAAACAGCTGATTCTGAAACTGCACAACTTCTTTTGCAAGAAGTGTACATGTTTATGAATCCAAATCTAGCACTTAAACTTCTTGTAATCTTGGATCCCTTCCAAATGTTTCCATCGTCGTCGTTTTTTGAGCATTCCAAAAATGCAGCAAAAAAGGGGTCCATTTTATTGGGAGAAATCTCTTCTTGAATGTGTTTCTTGGAGGGATTTGATTTTGCAGGCGGAGGCAGTGGGAGGAAATTTCTTGAGGATTTCTCATTCTTTGAACTTTGTTGTTTGGGAATTCCAGGATGTTTTTCCCAAGAAAATGGAACTCCTAAGAATTTTAATGAATCACATGATAAATGTGGTGGCGGCGGCGGCGATGTAGAAAAGGAAGGACTCCGACGAGCAACTACTGGCCGGAAAAGCTCAGTCGAACTATAGGGAGTGTGTGTCTCGTGTGGGGGTACTTGGGCATGGCCATTGCTATGTGTTGGAGTAGAAGCCATTGGTTTTTCGAGGAAAAAGCAAAGTTTTGTTGGTATAACTATTATGTGAATCTCATGCTGTTGAGTTCCCTATGTACAAGGAAAATGGTTCTTCCAACACTAAAGTAAACTATGGTGACTAAAATTTACGTGACATTAAAAATCGATCCAGACAATATAAAAATGAGGTTTTTTGTCCATATGGAAGAGTTTTTATATTTTATATTATGTTGATACATGGTAGTAGACATGATTAAGTTGTATTCATTGTTTTTCTACTTGTCGTTGTATAGTGATGAGTATTTTTCCTTGTCATGCGGGTGACTCGGGTACGACTCAGGCAATGACTTCAAAACTTGTTCAGTAAAATTTTGAAGTATACAATATCAATAAATAAGTAATATATTGATAAATATAGTATCGTTCCCACGTAATTCTTTGTTTTTGTCTTAGGGAAAATTCTACGGGGGTCCCACTTTGCCAACCATGATGATGGATGCCCAATCGTAATTTAAAGTGGAATAAAGCTACTTATATAATTTTTGTCAACTATTTATGTGCTGCCAGATCCATGCTATTGATTTAAAAATCAATTTTTTAAAATGGATGGTGTAAATTCCTCTCAATTTATGATTGTCAACAAAGTTGTCAACTATGTTTGTACATGTAGCATATTTTTTTCGATTTTGCTAGGGGTACATCACCCCTTACACAAGGGGCGACATAATGGCCAAGTGGCGCCTTCTCATTGGAGGGGCGCCGAGGCCCCATGTTTTTGAAACAATCCTATTATTTTTAAAGTGTGTAGGCATCATGTACCGCTAGTCATAAAGCATCATTTTGATCGTTAAAATCAACACGGTACACACATGTAATGTCTCCTGAAATGATAAAAATGTCCAATGTGTGATGAATGGTATGGCTTTTGGTTCTTGAAATAAAGTTATGTTTTATGAACAATCGCGTACGGGAGGTTTTTACGAAAATAAAAATGAGTTGGACATTTTTACCCATTTAGGAGACATCACATGTGTAGAATTTCTGAGATTTGATTCNTATATTGATAAATATAGTATCGTTCACACGAGGATTATTCTGTCTAATTAATGATTTAATTATGTCTAGCTTATTTATTTATGTATTTGAAGAAAATAAAGGGTGATGGGAAGGTTTTACTAAAAACAAAATTAATTAAGAAAACAATTAAATATTGCATAAATTAACAAACTGAGTTTTTATTTATGTGTAAAAATTGCTAGGGTCCATGTAAGGGACAAACCTCTTGGAACAAAGTCCCAAAAAGGGGTGTTTATTGAATATGAAGATTACAAGCTTGGACGTGGACAAGA